AATCACATTCTGTTGCTTTAGCACTAATTCAATATTATTATTTTCAGTCATTGTCTATGTTAAATTATTTATTAATATGCAATAAAAAAAATGTTCGTAAATACCCTTGTCGAAGAAAAAATCCCAGTAAAAGCATCAATCGATACAACATCTAAATCCAATACTATTAGCAAGAGCTTGTTCGATAAGTTTGAAGAAGATTATGGGTTGGAATGTTTATCTGGCGATGAATTGATCGGTGAAGAAATAAAAGGCTTAGATTTGCAATTTTGCTATAAAGGAAAGTGGCGAAGTTTAGATGGTACCGAAGTAATAGACTTTCAAATTCACAAAAATCCATCATTTGATTTGGTATTAGGGAGAGATTGGTTATGGATACATAAAGCAAAAATAGGTTTCGGATTCTCTTCTGAAATCAATGATTTGTATGCTAAAATTGTAATAGATGGTATGAGCATCCCGTTAATCGATGAAGATTTTAATAGGTTCGAAGAACCATTGCTCTGCAATAAAGCCGGCTCTAGTAAAAATAACCCACATAAGTCCGATTTATCAATGGAGGAGATTACGAATATAATTAAGAAAATTCTCTCAGATGTCGAAGATAATCAGTCGGGTTCTTCTGATTCCCACAAATCCCAACAATGTCGTATCAGTTCACATCAAAAAAGAAAAGATATGGAGAGGCCAAGATTATCAAAAGCGTTATAGTATCTGAATCTGATTCTTCCACATCCAGTTCGGAATCAGAGGATAAGCATATACATAAGACTGAGGCGGTAAGGAAACGCCCCATTCTAAAGCATAAAGTAAAAGGTAAAGTCAATTATCGAGCTTTCTATTAGCACCTTGTGCCTGCCCCGCTAATGCGTCTGATCATATAAATATTAATCGAATTAGTCATAATAATCATGATACAATGGAAGAATATACACAAAATTTCCTTGAACAATTGTATACTATCCATATGCCCGGGCCCAAAGGGGCGACCCCAAATGGTCATAATGTGTTAAGAAAAATATATCTCCAAAAAATCCGTACAGGCGATGTATTAAATGCCAACATTTGTATAAAGATTCAGTGGATACTCATTTAAGTTATCTAAAATATTGTTATCCATGTTCCAGAAAACAAGCGATATTAACTATTCAGCAGATATTTCGTTCATGGAATCAAAAACGAATAAATTCGGCTAAAATAATTCAGCACGCAGTAATTAAATGGCTCTATCGACCAGGTGGATTATTTATGAAGCAAGCCAAAGATCGATATTACCAAAATGTGGAGAAAAAGATACTTTTCAAATCAGATAATAAGTGGAAGTAAAATTATAATTTCTGGAAGTGAATCATGTCACGTTATAATGAGCCTCGAGGGAGCGATGTCATGTGTTTTAAATCCGCGAATCAGAGATCAGCATAATTCTCGGAAGAAGAGTAATAATTATCATCCAATCACATCACGGGTGGGATCGACATAGAAGTTCGTGAAACATGCGATAATCGTTATTTTTTCGTTTATATAGGCTGGGAAAACTTCTCTATTCTATACATACTATTACGATAAGGGCGAACGAAAACGAACCTCGAAAAGGTAATAAGGGCAAAGAGCCCGTTGATTCCTATCAGTACCGTTATCAGAAATTATGAGTCATAGGGGTTCGAGATCTTCGCAATTCCGGATCGTCGTTGCGATTAACCAACTTCGTCTTACAGGAGCGATCTCGAACCAAAAGGGATTTCATTCATACATATATAACTCATTGCTCCACATATTGGCGTTGATTGTGTATGGTAATATTTCTATGGAGGCTGAATCGTAACAGGTTTAATTATGATTTCGATAACAGTCAATTTTGTCATTACTAGGGTTCGGAGATTCGCTCGATAAAGTTTGATTTATTTTTTAGTAAGTTTCAGATCAAGCGAAAATAATATAAATAAGTAGGTTTTAGTGAGACTTTATTTCTTACCTTCCCACAGATTTTTAAAGGTATGATTGTTTATGGTATATACCTATGAAAGCGAAATTCCACTTACTATGAGTTTTTTATCTTTAGGAAACGAAAATGGCAACAGAAAGAGAAATTGATAATACTATATTTCTCGATGTCCTTACCACTAGCAATGAATTTATTGACGTCAATACTGGTGGCAATAATTTTTCAAATACTGCTTTTAAATGGGACAGAATTAGTAAGGTCAAAAAAGAAATTGCGAAGCGTGTTGATACCACCCAATTCAAACTCTATAGGGATAGTCCACATCCTGTTAATTTAATGAAACAAAATGATATAGTTTCTGATTATTTAGAGACGCGTACTTCAGATAGAATTCATGTTGTTGTAGCACCTAAGCAAAAGGGGGGAAATTAGATTTTTTTCATTATGTAGCGATGTACATGTATATTTCGATTATTTCGTCTATTTTCTCTTAATTTTATATTACTTGGTACTTGAAAATCAGAATCCCAAATCGTTTTATTTTGTATAAAAAAATCAATAAATTTATGTCTTAGAAAGAACTCATTCTTCTCTAACTGTTCGACCTTCTCGATTTATACTATCATGGATTCTATGACTTCGTTGGTTGGGAGGTGAGTTAACGAATATATCAATGTTTTCCCGAATGTAGGATTCTATCGATTGGGACTGAAATGTAACAATATTTTTTTCCGGATGATATGAAAATACGTTGCTTTCCAATACTTCATTTAATTCCTTAACCTCATTGAAATATTTCTTAAATGCTAAAAAACTAAGCTCCTTAGACTTCAGCAAATCACTGATGATATTCTTCCCCACATTGTAATATGGATCATTTGGAAGGAGTTTTGCAAATTGGAATTTCTTCTCAACTTCATTTAGAATCGAATTTTTAATGTCTACAGAAAAAAGTCAAGCAATTAATCCAAAGCAGAATTGTGTAAATCTAATTGATGCAAAATAATGAAACCAATTTTACCTTCGAGAGATTGTCCAGCCGTGAAATCACCCACCACAGTCTTTAACTCTATAAAGCGACCACCAACCAAATCATATAATTTTTTTGCCTCTACTTCATTGATTTTGCATTTCTTAGTCAAATATTCCATCGATTCTTTCTCGTTAAGGTCACCAATTTCCATTACAGGTTTTTTTGCACGTGACCAGGCACTACGAGCTAAATAAGAATCATGGTCTGTAGTAATACTATTTTTTCGAGCACAAAAAATGTCAGTACTTACATTCCATCCTTCTAGGTACGCTCCCTTCACTACTGACAAATACAGCAATGTACTTTCGGTGATCAGCATTCATTTTAGCGTCATCTTGGAGAGTATCAAGAACTTTTGGGTTCACATTAACTAATTTGGCAATGTTGTCATAAACGATGACTGGAGGTTTATTGTGTTTTGCTTTGTACACTGCACTAGCACGCTTGAAGGCCTCCAAGGCTCTTTTCCACTTGGGACGCTCATCTTTACCTATAAAGAGAAACACTAAGATCAAAAGCTTCTGTTGTAAAGGATAATAATAATCAACTTACTATTGGTATGACCTAATATTTTCTTCATACCAAGCGTACATAAGGTCCACTGATATAAGACCAACAAGGCCAGTTACAATTATATTCGCCAATATAGTAGTCTACAAATAACGAAAAGGTGTTGAAAACTTGATCGAACAATGTATAACAAACAACAATAAATCTCATACTGGAAGCCGTTTTGCAATGTATTTTGTGAATTTGTTTAGGTAGGAGGACGATGTAGACTCTTCGGGAGACGTGTGGGGGGAAGGTGAAGAGTTTGCATAAGGTCTCGAAAGTGATGATTGAAATAAGTCAGGTCTCAAGTTCCCCAATATAAGACTCGGCGACTGAAGGAATCGTACTCGACGGTTAACGAAGTGAGTTGGAAAAACGGTCCTACGAAAGTGTTGAGTTATTTTGGAGAAAGACATTATTGAAGAAATTAGTGGTTAAAAGAAAGACGGAATGACTGATTGTCGATTCTTTCCTTATTTATGTTTCGATCACAATCACGCGATCCGCAGTACCATTCGGGAAAATTCTTATCATACAGTGACATGGAATTTCTTTTTTCACAGTTGCTAATTTTCCGAAACCGATGAGAGATTCTATTTGCAAGCAACATTAAGTCTCCATGGCATTGCTGTAACAAATAAGGTGAGTTTAGCTTTACCTGTGCATTTATCACATTTTATACTAATCGATTTTTTTCTAAATATAATCAGATTTTATGACTAAAGTTGATGTACTGGACTTGTCAATTATGCGATCAAGGTAATGACATTGTTTTTCGATGATTTTTGGTTGTGACAGCTTTCGCTGATGATTACATTCCTGATGATGATTCTGCATATGTAATAATACACTGTTTTTTTAAGGTTTGGTATTGCGTAAAAAGAGAGGGAAAAGATTGTTCGAAAAAAACATTAGGTCATTTTCAGATAGAGTTATCATGTATCTCCGGCATTTTGTAAATTATTCTTTAATAAAAATAATACACGTAATGATCATGAAGTATTTAAAGTTTTGAGTTTATTCAATGAGTCCTAGCTCTCGAAGATGATTTGGAATGACTAGATATGGATCCTCATAATACCAAACATATCTTAGAACAATCCAATTTTCCTCACAGAGTTCTTTTTTGATCCGATCACGTATTAATTGCTTTTCGAAGTCTTCCTCATTTTTGTGGAAATGCTTTACATATTGCTCATGTTGCTTACCCTGTACCTCTATGGCAAATCCATACTGCGGATAGTAAATATCAAGCTCTAATCCGCGAGGATACTCTGGTGTTTTCAAGAAATCTGGTCTGCGAATGTCAGAAGAAGGGCCAAGAATATTTGTTATGATTTTGCGACATAAGTTTTCTTGTTTATTTAAGCAATATGGGCACCATGTTTTAGAGTGCTTTATACAATTGAAACTTGTGAACCATTTATGACCCTTACTACACATCCATTGCATTGGAACACAAAGATTTATATATTCTGTAGAAAGACAGATACCTCCTCTACTGTGAGCAATTTCCTTGGCTTCCATAAGACCACAAGGGAAATTACCAGCACATTGTGAGCACCATCTACCTATATTCTTTATTCTATTAAGAGGCGCGGACCACTCATGGCCTCTAGAGCATCTTCAAAGCATTAGAGTAGTTGCATTAATATATTCTGTAGAAAGGCATTTACCACCTTGTTCTTGTGCAATATTTTTTGCTATATCAATATTGAGAAATCGGCACTGCCGGCACCAAGTTCCATTGAGAATATCCTTAGCTGAAGCCTTCCATCTATGTTCTTTTTTGCATTGCCATTCAAGAGGATCTTGTCTATTAATATACTTAACTGAAAGGCAAAACCATCCTTTTTTTCTGCAAGCATTTGCATATCCTTAATGGTTCTGGTTCGAGTAGAACATCTTCTAGGACATTGTGGACACCATGTTTTTTTATACTTTATATTATCAAGAGTTGTAAACCATTCATGAGATTTGGCACACCTCCAAAGCATTGGAGTTTTATTATTAGTATATTTTTCAGAGAGACACTCACCCCCTTTATTCGATGCAATTTCTCTAGCAATATGCAATGATAGTTTAGATAGCATTCTTATAATATTTATTCTAATTTTTAAAAGGTTAGCAAATTCCTTCCTTTAAATGTCCGCTACTCTTAAGTTTTTACTTAGCTTGCCCTAGCCCATTTTCATTCTTATAATAAAGTTATATTCTATTATTACTTGATTTTTAAATGTGTCCGGTCGTAAATTCGAAGCGAAACTTCATTGCTATACAATCAAAATTAAAAGTTATTATGATCTTTCAGTTTGAGGTCCGTGTAGTACATATCATCAATACTATCTTACGGCTTATGCATAATTTATATAATTTATTTAAGACACATATTGTACAACCTCTATAAGGTGCACGTATAATTTGTTTGTAAATTGATCATAAACATAACTGCCACACATTACAGGTTTGTATGGCAGAGCCAGTGTCTAGACTCAAAGAGTTATTGCTTTGCAATAAGACACATAATAAAAAATTTTTTAGCCACGTATAATTTATCGTTACGTATGTATAATTTATCGTTATGTATAATTTATGTACGTATACGTGTTATAATATATACAATGATAAAAAATCCGAATAACATATATACAAATAAAAAAAGTCGAAGTTATATCGAAAAGTGGCACATCTTTAGAGGTTGGAAGCACGGATGTAAGGTTTGTGACGAATGCAATCACCATTCACATCTATATTGCAAAACATGCAAAAAAGTAGCGGATGGCATATATAAGCGGTGTGAATGCGATAACGTGTTAGAATAAATTTCGCATACGTATAAATTTATCTGTACTATAATACCTTACAAGGCTTATCATTATGCATAACTCATGTGGAACGAGTAGTGGCTGGTTTCAGTGCATACATAGTCAGTTTACTTTTGCATGTGTATTTCGTGAATTTATTTTATTGTATTATTATCGATGTATACTAACTAGCATATGATTGAGAAATTTTTCTTGGAAAAGTGCATGAATTTTTTTCACAGAGTCATGTGATTTTATCAGACTCGAACTTTTGAACATATCCGTATCTTGTATAAAACAATGGAAGATGCTCAATCCACAATTGATTCATTGAGAGAATTGAATACCAAGTTCATTCTTCAAATTGATGAACTTAGAAAGGAAAATGCTGATATCAAGGCTGAAAATATAAAATCAAACCAAGATAAAGCAGAAATCGAAGCTAGATTTGTGAAATTAGAGCAGAATGATAAAGATACTACTACTGAAAATGCTGAACTTAAAGCTAGGGTTGCAAAATTAGAACAAAAGCAATTACAAACCGATGAAGAAAAAAATAACTATATAGCTAAAGAAATCGGGCCCAAAAGGGCGATCCTAAATGATTACCAATCTTCAGTTAATATTATCTCTACCAAAATGATAAATTCTAGCCATTCTAATGAACCCAATAATGCTTCGGTATCTGATATATCTGTTAATGCTTCAGTACAA